AATTATATATTTATTTGAACTTCAGAAATATTGGGCAAATTCTTGCAGCTCAAAGTATGAAATCAGTCAGTTGAGAGGTACTTCAATGACCAGAGAGGACCTATAGGACTAAATCTGGGGGCAGCAGGAAGTACATAATCCACCTGCTTTAAAAGAAGAGATGTCCTTAGACACGGCCATTTAACCAGGAGGTCTGGAAACACCTGATGGAAAAGAAAGATTAAATCATAGAATGAATATTGTGGACACAAGCAGAGGAGAAGATCAATATTTTTTCTCCTTCTGCCATCAGTATGCTTCCAGGAAATCCCTGTTTTTGATGGGAAAACTTTGCTATAACTTCAAAGTACTCAGATTACCCAGATAAGAAAGATTTGTTTGTATATTAGAAACTAACAAGTATTTAAACCTGTGCCCCTTTCCAGGCAGACATCAGCTGTGTGCCCATGAACAGGCAGTGCCACTTGTGCCCTGAGGTGCCCAGCTGGAATTGAATCTCTCTGAGAGCACCTGAGAGAGAGTAGAGCACCTTGCAAGCTGCAGGTCCCTGACAGCCCCACAGGGCTCCTGGCCCATCAACATCTACTCTGCTCCAGTCTGAAACAGGGCCCAGCATGGTGCTGGGATCGTCAGAGAGCTGAGGTGTGTGCTGGAATTCAATGCCCTCCCCATCCCGCAGCAGCCCTGCATTTCCCTCCTGCAGCCTTGGTCTCCAGCACAGCCATGGAGGCTCTTTGGGCTCTGGACTGTTCCTGCAGCCCCAAGGGCAGGTGAGCTCTGCCTTTGGCACAGTCAGGCCTGGCCAGCGCAGGCCATGCTCAGCAATTGCTTGTGTGAGCCTGGCCTTGCTGTCAGCCCCGGCAGCGGCTGCGTGGCCCCTTTGTGGCCCTGTGCCGGCCCAGCCATGGTGGCCCAGCCCCTGTGCAGGCCCAGCCCAGGTCAGGAGCATTGCGGCTGGGAACGGCCCCTGTGCCGTGGTGCCCACAGCAGCCTTGGGGCTCTGTGCCCCATGGCCTCTCTGCTGGGCAGCCTCTGCCGGCTCCTGCAGAGGCCCTGGCACCTGCGGGGCTGCACAGACAGCCCTGCCCCGGGCTCTGCCGGCCTCTGGGCCAGCTGAGAGGCAGCCAGGGCTGCCCATGGCTGCGAATAGGCCCTGAGCCCCACAGGAGGATGGAGCTGGGCCACAGCCAAACTCAGCCCAGGCCAAAGCTGGGCTCAGCAGCCAGGGCTGCCAACACACGGGCACAGAGGCTGGCACTGACAAATGTCCTGGGCCCCCTCCCTGCTCTGTCCATGCCTCCAAGGGCACAGAGCAGCCTCCTCTCTGGGCCACTTGCCTGTTTTCAATGCCTTGCACAGGTGCTGGCCCTGCCCCACAAGGCCTGGCCTGAGTCCTGCCCCGGCATGCTCATCCAGGCTGAGATGGACACTGATGGTTTCTGGGCCAGGCTCTCTGAGCCCAGCCCAGCTCCCTGCAAGCTCTGCCTACTGCCCTGAGCTCTGGGCAGCACCAAGGGCCTCTCCCCAGCCCAGCCCAGCTGGCTCTGGCCCCACAGCTCTGCTCAGGCCAGGCTGCTCTGGCCACTGGCCCCACGGCCTCAGCTCCTGGCAAGGGTACAGCAGCAGCTGCAGCTGCCACAGGACTCAGCCGCAGCTATGGGGGAAGGAGCTTGGCCAAGGCCAAAGGAGGCTCCCTGGCTGCCCTGCTGCCCTCAGGCTGAGGTGCTGAGAGCTCTGCAGCCCCTGCTGCCATCCCATCTACCCAGGGCAGCACAAGAGCCCCAGCCTTGGGGCCCTCAAGAGCTGCTCCTGCTCCAGGCCCAGGGCCCATGCCAAAGCTGGGGCAGCCACAAAGCTGTGCCCATTTCTGTTCATTGCTGCTCTGATGGATCCTCAGCCGCTTGGAGGCTGATGATGAATTTTCCTACTCCAGGGCCTCTTCTTCCTTGAGCTCTTCACTTCAGGAATTGAGAAAAGATTATAAATATTTGTTCAAAAGACCCAAAACAAGAAAAGTCCATGGGAATAATCTAAGTTTTCAATTCTTCTGTGGTTATTTAGACAGATTTCATAAGTCTATTCAAAGTGAATATACCATATTGAAAACAATGCAGAGAGAACTGTTTTGTCCTGGTTTATTTTCTTCTTTATAGATTGATATCAGCAATCCCCAGTGGATATTGATCCCCAGCACCTCCTAATGCAGTTTGAACAGATATGAAAATCAAGACCCTTTGTGGCTGACAATCAATCACACTTTGTCACTACCCCTTCCCTACCATTTTCCTCACCCAACCCCTGGCACTCAGAGCAGCTGAGGAATGGAGTCACATCCAGGGGTGTCCCCAGGGCTCAGGACTGGGGCCAGGTCAGTGAAATCTCTTTATTGCTGATCTGGACGAGGCCATCGAGGGCACCCTCAGTCAGTTCCCAGGTGAGCCCAAGCTGGGTGGGAGTGTGGCTGGAGGGCAGGAAGCTCTGCAGAGGGATCTGGACAGGCTGGAGCCATGGGCCCTGGACAGCTGGATGAGGTTCACCAAGGCCAAGGACCAGGTCCTGCCCTGGCCTCACAATGTGGTTCTGTGATAGATATAAACATAATTAAGTTCTTGTATCAGGATGCTTAACCTGGAGTGGGGGCAAAATAGCTCAAACAATTCCTGATTTGGAAAGCTGCCAGTGGTGGATGGAGAAGGGAGGTCAGGCTGCTTTTTGTGTTGAGGAAATGCTAAAACCAGCCTGACTCATTTCATCTCCTCCTGTCCTGGCTGATCTCCCCTCTTTCCCCTTCCACCCATTGGCTTTTGTCTCCCACCAGGCCCCCCGGTGAAGAGCCTGGCTCTGTGTTCTCCATCCCCTCCTGGCTGGCACTGCCAGGCTGGCATGAGGAGCCCCTCAGCCTTCCCTGCTCCAGGCTGGACCAGCCCAGCTCCCTCAGCCTCTGCTCACAGCCCAGGGGCTCCAGCCCCACCTTGGAGGCCCTTCCCAGACCCTGCTCCAGCTGCCAGACATCTTTCCTGCCCTGGGGAACCCAACCCAGGCCACAGTGACCTGGATAATCCCCGTCCTTCATGTCCTGGTAACACAGCCCTGGCCCCTTGTCCCCATGTCAGGCTCTGGGGAGGATCCTGTGGAACATCCTTTGGTGGAGGCTGTGGCTCCAGGTGGGCCGGGGGCATCCCGGGGGACAGGGACCCTGCTGGGCATGAACAGCATTGGGCTTGTTGGGAGAAACTGTGAGGGGGATCTGGGGCAGAGTGACCAACCCAGTGACCTGACAGAGCCCTGCTGGGATGTCACACAGCCCATCTGTGATGTCACAGCCTGCTCTGTGATGTCATAGTCTGCTCTGGAATGTCAGACACCTGCCCTGTGATGTCACAGCCTGCTCTGTGATGTCACAGAGGCAGTGTATAATGGCTTTTTGATGACCTCACATAACCCACTTTGTGATGTCACAGCCCACTCTGTCACCTCATGTTAAAAGATCATAAATTGTCTCCACCAGGTGAGCTGACACCTGGAGCTTGTTCTCCAAAACCCCAGGCCTATGGAAATCACAGAATGCCCATTGTGTGCAAAGGGGAACTGGAAGTTCACCAGCCTCAGTGTCCTGCCAGTTCAGCCAGGCCCACTGGAACATTGGGGTCCACGACCACCAGGGACCACCAGAGAGACCCCCAGAACAGAACAACATATGGGTAATGGGGAGAGGAAATGTGGTAATGATTTTGGGGAAATGATTATCATATATATGTTTAGTCCAGGACAATCAATGCATATGTGTGCAAAATACAGAAAATAGACAGAAACTTTCCTGTGCTCAGCATGCAGGGCTTTGGGAGGAGCTATCACCAGTGCCTCCAGCTGAATATAGAATGCTACTTCTTAATGCTACATTGGGGTTAAGGAGTTTTCTGTTTCACCAAATTTTTCGTAACACTTCCATTGTCAAGGAAAGCTCTGTCTGCTGCTGTTCACAAACAGAGAAGGGCTGGTGGCAGATGTTTGGCTCGGAGGCTGTCTGGGGCACAGTGACCATGAAATAATCAAGTTTACATAGTTCTGTGAAAGAAGGAGGGGCAGCAACAAAACTTCTGCACTGGAATTAGGAAGGGCAGACTTTGGCTTATTTAGGATGCAGATTTGGGGAGTACTGAATCAGGTTGTGATTTTTTGAAGGGAAATAGCCCCAAAAACAAAGGGGTCCAGGAAGGATGGACACATTTCAAGGAAGTAATCTTAAGAGGGAAGGAGCAGCCTGTCCCAGTGTGGCAAAAGATGATCTAGTCAGGAAAATGACAGTCCTGGCTTCCCATGGAGCTTTTGTGGAAACTCAGGGGGAAAAAGGACAGGCAGTTCAGGAAGTATTTAAGAAAGTCCTTAGGTTATCAGAAAGAACATTAGAGTGGTGAAAGCTCAATCAAAACTCAACCTGACCAAGCCTGTAAAAAAAAAAAAAAGTTTGTTTAAAAAAGTTTTAGCAAAAGGAGGGAGAAGGAGAACCTCTACTCTTTATTGGATGCAGTGGAGAAGATAGTAACTAAAGATAAGGAAATGGCTGAACTGCTTAACACCTTGTTTGTCTCAGTTTTCAATATTAGGACAGGTTGTCCTCAGGACAAGTGTTCTGCTGAGCTGGCAGATGGGCACAGGGAGCAGAACAGCCCCTGTAATCCAGGAGGAAGCAGTTGGTGACCTGCTGAGCCACTCAGATGCTCACAGGTGTATGGGATTGGATGGAATCTATCCTAGGGGGATAAGGGAGCTGGTGGATGAGCTCCCCAAGCTGCTCTCCATCATTTACCATCAGTCCTGGCTCAGCAGGGAGGTCCCAGAGTACTGGAGGTACCAATGTGAGCCCATCGCCAAGAAGGGCTGGAAGGAGGAGCTGGGCAACTCCAGGCCTGTCAGCCTGACCTGGGTGCCCGGCAAGGTTATGGAACAGATCACCTTGAGTGCCGTCCCAGGGCACCCACAGGATGGCTGAGGGATCAGAGCTAGCCAGTGTGGATTTCAATATCTGCATTGATGATCTGGATGAGGAGATTTTGTCCACCATCGTCAAATTTGAAGATGACAACAAGTTGTCTGGGAATGTTGATCTGCTGGAAGGTAGGAGGGCTCTGCAGAGGGCCCCGGACAGGCTGGATCCAGGGCCCAAATCCAACAAGGTCAGGTTGAACAAGTCCAAGTGCTGGGTCCTGCACTTTGGCCACAACAACCCCTGAGGGCTAGGGACAGAGTGGCTGGAGAGCAGCCAGGCAGAAAGGGACCTGCAGGGACTGATGGACAGCAGGCTGGACATGAGCCAGCAGTGTGCCCAGCTGGCCAAGAAGGCCAATGGCTTCTGGCCTGGCTCAGGAATGGTGTGGCCAGCAGGAGCCGGGCAGGGATTCTTCCCCTGTGCTCAGAACTGGTGGGGCAGCATCTCGAGTGCTGTGTCCAGTTCTGGGCCTTCCTATTTCGGAAGGACATGGAAGGGCTGGAGCATGTCCAGAGAAGGGCAACAAAGCTGGGGAGGGGTCTGGAGCACAAGTCCTGTGAGGAGTGGCTGAGGGAGCTGGGGTTGTTTATCCTGGAGAAGAGGAAGCTCAGGAGAGACAAGGCAGTATCAGGGCACAGGTTGGACTTGATGATCTCAAAGGCCTTTTCCACCCTTGCTGCTTCTGTGATTCTCTGAAGCCACCATTGGAGCAGATGCAGGAGGAGCCCTGGGCCTCCTCTTGAGAAGCTCCAGCAGCCCAGGTCCCTCAGCTTCTCCTGCCAGCCCCAAAGCCCATCCTGTCAGTCCTGCAGAGCCTCTGCAGCTCCTCCTCACTGCCCAGAACAGGGAGCCCCAGAGGCAGACACAGCAGCCCAGATGTGCCCCCCTGGCCTGGGGTGCCTCTGGCAAGGGAGCAGCACCAGGCACTGCAGGAGCCCGCAGACAATTCCTGCAGCACATGTAGGATGATCCTGCTGCCCAAGGGACGTTCCCATGGGGCATAGTCAGGAACTGCAATGGGGAGTGGGGCCAGAGAGGAAAGGGCAAACAGGGATGGGCTGTTTGCAGGGCAGGAACAGGGCTGGGCAACAGGAAGAAATTTGTAGCAAGAAGAGTAATAAAGAAAGCAAAGGTGAAGCCAAGGAAATGCCCAGGGCAGTTTGGGGGTGGGTGCCAGGCAGCCCTGGCTCTGAACAACAGTGTCTGCAGTGGCACAGGAAACTCCCAGCTGATGGGAACAAACTTTCTGGCTGACTGCAGAGGCCAGGACAAAGCTGAGTGGTTTCCCTGGTGTCCCCCAGCCCTTGCTGGCCCCAGGGGCTGATGGCATTTGTGCTCCCTCAGGTTCATGTCCCCACACCAACAGCATGGGGGTGCTCCCCCTGCTGTGTGCAATGCAAACAGGGGCTGCTGAGGCAGTGCTGCCGTGTCTGTGCCTGCAAGGATGGGGCACCTGTGTGAGCTGGGGGAGAGGCCAGGGCTGCAGAGGGGGGATGTTGTTGGCAGCTCCATCAGGACGCTCTGGGATGCTGCCCTGGGCTGTGCAGTGCACTGGGGATGGATCAGCCCCTGCTCTGCTGCTCCTTCCCGTCTGCCCCTGGGGCTGTTCACAGGGGTTTCTGTGCTTAGCATTGGCCAGGCCGTGTTCTTGAGAGAGCCTGGGCAAGGAGCCTGGAGCCCCCAGGCCCTGGCCTGAGGCGTCAGCGCTGCCCCAGCAGTGCCCATGGCCTGTCCCTGCTGCAGCCCCGGCACTGCCACCCCCAGGACTGTGCCTGGCCCTGAGAGCACTCAGGCCCTACAGCAACACTAGGGCCACCAGGACAGCAGGGCAGGGCCACGGCAGCAGCACTGGCAACACCAAGTTGGCACAAACAATGACATCACTTTGTAGAAAATATTTAAAATTTTAAACAAAGACAAAGAACCTGCAAAATGAAATGAACAAGAAGTATTGAAGGTTACTTTTATTACAAGTGATTTGCAAATACTGGTCAGCAGTTTAATGTTCCTGAAACCATCCAGTCCTCAGTCTCCACACTGCAGCCTGGAGCTCCTGGTTCCTCAGGCTGTAGATGAGGGGGTTCAGGGCTGGAGGCACCACTGAGTACAGAACTGACAGGGCCACATCCAGGGATGGGGAGGACATGGAGGGGGGCTTCAGGTAGGCAAATGTGCCAGTGCTATAGAAAAGAGAGACCACAGCCAGGTGAGGGAGGCAGGTGGAAAAGGCTTTGTGCCATCCCTGCTCAGAGGGAATCCTCAGAACAGCCCTGAAGATCTGCACGTAGGAGAAAACAACGAACACAAAACAACCAAATGATAAACAGGCACTAACAGCAAGCAGCCCAAATTCCCTAAGGTAGGATTTGGAGCAGGAGAGCTTGAGGATCTGTGGGATTTCACAGAAGATCTGGCCCAGGGCATTGCCATGGCACAGGGAAAGGTAAAATGTATTGGCCGTGTGCACCAGAGCATTGAGAAAGCCACTGGCCCAGGCAGCTGCTGCCATGTGGGCACAAGCTCTGCTGCCCAGGAGGGTCCCGTAGTGCAGGGGTTTGCAGATGGACACGTAGCGGTCGTAGCACATGATGGTCAGGAGGCAAATCTCTGTTGCAAGAAAAAAAAAAATCAGAAAGACTTGGGCAGCACATCCAGTGTAGGAGATGTCCCTGGTGTCCCAGAGGGAATTGTGCATGGCTTTGGGGACAGTGGTGCAGATGGAGCCCAGGTCGCTGAGGGCCAGGTTGAGCAGGAAGAAGAACATGGGCGTGTGCAGGTGGTGGCCGCAGGCTACGGCACTGATGATGAGGCCGTTGCCCAGGAGGGCAGCCAGGGAGATGCCCAGCAAGAGGCAGAAGTGCAGAAGCTGCAGCTGCCGCGTGTCTGCCAACGCCAGCAGGAGGAAGTGCCTGATTGAGCTGCTGTTGGACATTTGTGCTGTCTTGGCATGGGGATCTGTAAGGAAAGTAATCATGGAATAGTTGGGTTTGGAGAGAACTTTAAATATCCCAGAACAGCTTTGGGGCACTTCCCCCCCACTGCCTGCCCAGGGCTCTGCTGCCTGGAGCTGTCCCTGCCAGCAGCTGCTTCCCTGTGCCCAGGGCTGGGCCCTGCCAGTGCTGACAGAGCCCAGCCCAGCCCTGGGGGCTCAGCTCTGCCCTGCAGACCCCTCCCAGCTCTGGCACTGCCCAGGGGCAGCTCTGGCTCTGCAGGCTCTGATCGCAACGTCAGAGCAACCCTGAAGAGGCTGGAAAAGCAACACTGATCCTGCTTCTAAGAGGCCCTGTGCTGATCTTAATAACTGCCCAATTAATTCAGATATAAGGGAAATTTTGTTTTTTTTTTACTGCCAGAACTGAGAGAGGAATATCTATGTGCAATTTCACATCCAGGCAACGCAGAGCAGGAGATTAAAAAAACCAGGATTTTCCCTTTTATGCATCCCCTGCCTCGCTGTTCCCCCTGCATAATCTACTTGGAAAAGTTCTGCAGGTAAATGGCACGCTGGAAGCAGTCCTGAACAATGCAGCATCCTCTCCACACAAGGAGAACATTTCCAAGCCTTACCAGCTGTCTCCTCCCACCCAGATCTTGTCCCCCAGTGCTGGGAGCAGCTGCCAGGGCTGGCTGAGAGCTGTCCCTGGCAGGCAGCAGAGTCCCTGCCCCAGCACAGCACCCTGGGCTGCAGCACCCTGCTCTGCAGGACAGCCCTGGGCACCCCTGGCTGCTCTGCACAAGACACAATCAGAGAATGTACTCACAGAATCTGTAGGCATTGGGATGTTCCAGCTTTAGGAGATGGCTCCAGGAGCTGCAGCTGCATTGTCCTGCAGCCAGAGGTTCCTGTGCCAAGTGCTGGCAGTGATTCTGCCCCAGGCACTTCTCAGCCCCTTCCCAGCCCTGACTGATTAAAGCTCTCTGTGCCTTTGTGATGTGCCTCGGGTGGCTTCAGGCAGTGCCTCAGCCCTGCTGGGCTGGCAGAAGAGCTGCTCATCAAGAGAAATGTGCTTTTGAAGCTCTTCTTGGTTACCAGGAACTGCCTCTGTGCCAGGAGCCCAGCTCAGCTCAGCAGCACAGACAGAGCACCAGGACTTTAATGAGCCTCTGGGGCTTTGTGCTCAGGCCTTGAACATCAGTCCCTCAGAGGGAGCTGAAGAAACCTCTCCAGAACTCCAAGTCAGAATCCGACTCCAAAGTTTCTTGGACTTTTAATGGGTCCCACTGAGGGACACGACTGAGAAAGTGTCCCCAGGCCCCAGGCAGAGCACAGAACTGGAGGCACTGATGACAGCTGGGGAGAAAGAGAAGCCAAGTCTTGGTGCCCTGGAGCACAGAAGGGTCTGTGCCACCAAGGGCTGTGAGGAGACATCCTGTCCTGAGGCACTGGGGCCTCCTGGCACAGCCCCAGCCAGGCTGGGTACTGTCAGCCCCTTGTCCTGCCCTCAGCATCCCCCCCTAGCCCACCTCCCAGTGGCCTCAAGGATCTGCTGGAAGCAGTCCCTGGGGAGCCTTGCTCAGCAATGGCCATGGGGGCTCCTGAATGCTCCCTGCAGGGACTGCAGGCTTTTCAAAGGACTTTGGGTTTTGCTTTTGCCTTGGAGTCTCTGAGAGCTCTGTTCAATCTTGTCCTCCAATTCTCTGCTTTAATTAGTCCCTGGAGAGGCTTTGTCAGTAACAACACTCACTGGGGCTCATTAATGCTTCAGGGTACTTCAGTTATTTTAAGGTACTTGGTGTTGCCCTTTTGATATTGACTCTATGAGAGGTTTTTGCAATCATGGCCTCAATTATCTGCTTTAACGAGTCCCTTGAGAGCTTCGTATATACACTCAGTGGGGCTCATTAATGCTTTGAGATACTCAAGGTTTTTGAGGTACTTTGGATGTTCCTTTCCACTCTGAATATCTGAGAAGTGTTTTTTCCAATTCTGGCCTCCAATTCTCGCCTCCAAAGAGTCCATGAAGAGCCTGTGTTTGGGATGGACCTCAGTGGGACCCATTCATGCTTTGAGACACTTTGAGTTTTTTCTCTGACTTTGACTCTTGGAAAGGTTTGTGCAATCTAAAGCTCTGAGTTTCCAGGGCTCATCTCCAAATACACCACAGGGCTCATTAGCATCAAGCAATACCTGACAAACCATGGCTCTGCCTTGATTTCTCTTGGCTCTGGAGCAATTCATTAGGTGGATTTCCTTTAACAGTTGTGGAGAAATATTTGAAACAGCTTCTAAGAAATCTGTATTCCTATCTTAAAGGGTGTCTTTTATTGCTGTTCTTATTATACAAGAGGTGATTGCAGAATTCGGTGATTGATATTGATCCACTGTCTCTCCTAAGGAGGTCTGGCCAGGTCAGAAAAGTTGTACCTTGGAGCTGACCCAGTGTGGACAACCTTGCCCCACATTCCCCAACCCTATCTGAGAAACGATTTTCACTTTCAAAAATATAAATGATTTATTAAGACCTTATAAAAATACAACAGAAGGATCTTGATTTTCATATCTGTTAAAATACAACCAAAGACTGAATAAAGAAAAGAATACAGTGCCAGGACCAAAGAATTCAGTCACCATGTGCTCATCTACAAAATGGATGTTCTGTCTTTTATACCTCTAGCCTCTCCCAAAGTCTTGTCAATTGATTCCTTGTTCACTGTCCAGTGGTGGACATCACTGTCTAACACCTTGACTGGGGGTCAGATGCTGCCATAGTAACAAGCCAACCCTCCAACATGCCCCAACTACTGAGGCCATCCTGTGATAACAATGCAAGGGGGAGGGGAAGGATAACTATACATCTACAAAACTTCTTTTGACATATATTTAATATTGACCCCTTAATTGTAAGAGTCCACCATACGATTACTCATCTATAACACTATTCCCTTTTCTTTTTCTCTCAGTCGTTTTGCTTGAACAATTAAGAAAAAAATTTCTCTCTCATTTGAATGAGTCATACCAGCATCTGTTGATGTGGTCAAGGACAGTGGGAACAGGAGAAAAAATATCTCGGGTTTTCCCTAGACACACTTATCTGGAATGGACAAAAAGGCATCACAGAGGTCCAGTATGGCATTGACTCCCATCTACCGTGACTTTGTGGCTGCCAGCCATAGTCAGTGTATCTTAGGGGTGAGTACAGAGGCCAACTCGGTCCTGTCCTCCAGTCCCTGTTGAATTAAAAGATAACTGAGAAATGATAGAGGTCTGGAATGGCCTTTTGTCCCTACCTTACCATGCCTATGGGGTTGCTGCTCGCAGCAGGGCTATGGAGCCTTCTTGGTAGCAAACAAAGGGGCCAACCCGGTCTTGCACTCCTTCCTTTGCCGTATTTTCCTGAAGAAGCTGTCCCATTACCTTTTACTGTCCCTTGTGTACTTCTCCTCAACAGATGCTGGTAATTCTCACTCATGAAAACAGGAAGAGTTCTCAAGCTGGCTGGTGGAAGCTTGACTCTATTTTTTGGGCGTCTTGGTGTTTTTCTGGTTGTCTCTCAGTCTCTGCTTGAGAGTCAATCTTGTTTCACCTGACTTGGATGTTATAGTCCACTCTTTAAGTTCTCCTGCTGGGCCTTTGTTGGCATGACTCCATCCCCGCTCTGCAGTTCGCACGGCTGATTCGGTGATGAGCAGTACCTGAAAGGGACCTTCCCACGGAGGAGTTAGAGGCTGATCTCTCCATGGCTTGATCATCACCCAATTCTTGGGATTAATATTATGGATTCTGAAATCCAGGGTGGTAGTTTGAGAATTGCCCCTTTATGTCTTAGCCCTTCTAATGTTTGTGCTATAGACCTCACTTATTTCTTGGCATTGGTTTCCTCTTCCTCATAGGTGGCAATGTTCTGGGGTAAGGTCAGGTAGGGTAACCCAAACATCATTTCATAGGGCGACACCCCCAGATCTGACTGGGGTTGGGTTCTAATTCTTAATAAGGCCAAAGGGAGACATTTTACCCATGACATTAAGGTTTCAATCATTAGCTTAACTAGAGCTCTTTTAAGAGTTTGATTCATTCTCTCAACCCAACAAGAACTCTGTGGGTGCCATGGAGTGTGTAATTCCCATTTTACTCCCAGGGCCTGAACAACTTTCTGCAATATCTTCGATGTGATATGACTTCCCTGGTCTGAATCAATCCTGTTTACCATCCCATATTGGGGAATGATTGATTCTAGAATTGTTTTTTTCAGAACATTTGCATTGGCTTTCACAGTGGGTACCACCTCTACCCAATGAGCCACGTGATCTACTATCACTGGCAAAAACTTCCACCGTTGTATCTGGGGAAGCTCAGTAAAGTCTACTTGGATGTTTTGAAAGGGCTTTAAGACTAGTTCTCATCCTCCTCTGATTGTTTTCCTTGTGATTTTCTTATTTACTTGTTGACATATCACACACCATTCAGTTACTTGCTTAGCTATTCTGAAAATTCCTATGCATCCCCAATCCCTCAGAAATTGATCACTTAGCACTTCTGTACCCCAATGTGTTGTTCCATGTATGCCTTCTAATGTTTTCTTGGCTGGGGATTTATTCAACATTTATCTCCCA